AAGTTCTCTTATTCAGATGATTGTCACTATTTCTACCATATCTAACAAACACTACAATCCCTTCCATCCTTAGTCTTCTCATGTCACGTACCTACAGGAAAAGTTCAGATCTTCCCTACTAAATATTCAAATCCCATTTCAGTCATAACATTTTTTGATACTGGTGCTACTCGTACTATTATCAACCCTAAGATCCTCCAATCCTCTCAGTGGAAACCTCATTAAGAAGTTTTCTATAATGTTAATAGTGACACTTTCACTACTCATCTGATTAGTAAACCCATTAAAATCCAAATTCTTCCAGGATGTTTTACTTTTCACAAAGTTCTTGGTTTTGATTTACCTAGCAAAGTTATGGTTATAGGTTTTGATGTTTATTTTAAACTTAATAAACTTAGAATCCTCCCTAATGGTGCTCGGTACAAGATGTTTTTCCAATCCTGGACCACTCAGCCTAACTTATTCTAGATTGAAGGCAATCCTATTGAACATATCAAAGCCCAGCTTATTTCCCGCTTTTGTGCAAATTCTCATGCAGATTTTCTCACTAAATGTTCTCATCCATTATGGAAGAATTCTAATTTTTTTATCCATCTCCCATTCATCAAGAGTGAAGATATCAATCTCACTAAAGCTAGTCATTCTGGCATGTCACTATAACATCTTAGCCTAGCCCAACAAGAATATACTCAGCTTTTATCTCAAGGATTGATTGAACCCACAAATTCCTAATGGGCATGTGAAGCTTTTTTATGTCAACAAACGTGCTGAACAAGCCAGAGGAAAACTCAGACTTGTTATCAATTATCAGTCATTGAATTTTTTTATCCATGATGATAAATTTCCTCTACTTTCCAAACAAGTTCTCTTTGCAAATCTATATAATGCAAAGATGTTTTCCAAATTTGATCTCAAAGTTGGATTTTGGCAACATGGAATTCATCCTGATGATCGTCATAAGACTGTTTTCTGCATTCCCAACCAACAGTACCAATGGACGGTCATGCCTTTTGGTCTTAAGGTCGCTCCTTTCCTGTTTCAAAAAGCCATGACAAAGATTTTTGCTCGCCTTCTTCATACATGTGTCATTTATATCGATGATATTCTCCCCTTCTCAAAAGATGAGGAATCTCATGTACATCTTCTTCGCCAATTTGCTGATATCATACACTCTTATGGTATTATGCTTACTGAGAAGAAAATGCAGTTAGGATAGACAAAGATTGATTTTCTTGGTATGGTTATTGCTGATGGCAAGTATAACCTCCAGCCTCATATTGCTAATGAATTGCAAAAATTCCCATATGTTCTCACAACCAAGAAAGAATTACAACAATTCTTGGGAATTGCCAATTACATGCGCAGTTTCATTCCCAACATTTCTCAACTCACTTCTCCACTTTCCCAGATGCTTAAAAAAAATCCTCCTTTGTGGTTTGAAAAGAAAACCAATGCAGTCAAAAGTCTTAAACGCAAATCCTTCCATACACAGCCATTGAAGATTCCCTCTTCTGGGAAATGAATTCTTCAGACGAATGCTAGTGACACTCATTGGGGTGCAGTGTTTTTTGAACAAGATGATCACAAAGTACGGCATTTGTGTGAATATCATAGTGGACAATTCAAACCACATCAACAACATTATCATTATCTTATAAGACATCATTTCTTTGTCGAAACAGATATGAAGTCCTTTGATCAAATGCTCCGATTCAACAAGAAAAATGTTCCACATCAACAACTACTTCGATGGGCAGAATGGTTTAGCAAGTATTCTTTCACTGTTCAACACATCAAAGGTCACACCAATACAATTGCAGATTATCTATCCTGGCCTAAAATTAAACAAGTCAGTTTCATGCACCCTAGATCCAAACCACTTCCCTGTTTCATGTTCCAACCATTAACCCAATCAAGTTCTTGTTCATCATCTATTATACCAAACCATATTCCAAACGTACTTCCTGAATTCGATGACCTTGTTCGAACTCGTACCATTGATGAAAATGCTACCACCCTCATGTTTTCTTATCAGATTTAATGCATTGGAAAATGTGGACAATCCATGTATGATATGTTAGGTGTCCATCCGGATTACCCATTTTCAAAAATCTTTTGTTTACCTCCGGGGCCAGATATCTTATTTCCAGAAGAATTATTATGGTTCTTTTGGTATATGTTACACCGGTACCACATTGCCATTCAATTCCCAGTCCATCATATGTTGAAAATAATTCCCCAATACCAGTCATCCTCAACTTCTGAGTTATACTCTTTGATGACTTTTCTCAAATTGTTCAAAACCCTAGAAAAATGGAAATCTGTGTTTGCTCATCAGCTTGCCCGATACAAAGGTCTTATATCCACCAAAATGGCATGGTCTATCATGTTTTTTCATAGACATCACTCCATCAGATTCGATGGTCTATATTTTTCACAACATCAAGTCACATTTCATCGGTCTTATCTATATGATCTCGTCCATAATATGTTTGACCATCCTGTTGAGACTAGATCAATTCAAAAAATCTTTTTTGAAAAAAATCAAATAATTCCAGATGAAATATGGCCATCTTTTCGCGATGATGCTCCGTGGGAACTCTTTCCTCCAAACTACACTGAGAAATTACTCCAAGCCAAACAAACATGCATACGTTCCATCATTGCTAAATTAAATGCCACTTCAAATTATCCAGAATGGTGGTACCTAGACTCACAGCCAAATACTGTGTAGGAAGAAGAGCTTCAGCAGTCTCATGATTACTACCTTCATAAATCCAAGCGACAACAGTACATGCATGCATCAAGTACCTCTACAAGGGAGCCATCTCAGTTTCTAGACACTTTTTTGGATACTCATCTAGATTCATCTTCTCGACATATTCCTGTTGATTGGATCCAAGCAATGAGTTGTCTTGATTTCCAAGATGAAGACTCGGGGCACATTACAAACCTGTTAGATGATTAAAGCTCTGCGTGTCTTAAAGTAAATACTTATGTCCTTTATGTTTATTTGTAAAATAGATGTGGACTAAATGGCAGTTTGCCAACTATAATGTAATATCTTCCTTATAAGTTGTAAAAGTCAAATATTGTAAGCAAATAAGTGTAAAAAAAAAAAAAAATCCAAAAAAGTCAATTGTATCAAGCCATGTAATAAATGGCTCTTTAATGTGTCTTGTATGTATTGTATTGAACTTCTCTATAAATAAGAGCTTTTATCTTCCCATGGAGGAGGAGGATTTTTGTGAAAAAATCTCTTGTATACTTCTCTTGCTCTCACATTGTTCTCTTATCAAACTTCTCTCACATTTCTTCCCTGCATACATTTCTCTCTTCATATTTTATTCTCACACATTTGTTTGATATTTCTAAACCTGCCCTCAACCTAAAGGGTGTTATAATAATCTGATAATGTTTAGAGTAACAGAAGATCACATATATGTTCTTTATTTACGTTCTTGATATATTTAATATATATGTTTTCATTTATGCTCTTGATATGTTTAATTTTCACTAGCCCTTTTAAATGATGTTTAAAGATGTGTGGGATAAGAGGAGGGCCTTGATCATAATTTTGACCGATTGTCATGTTGATCGGTTTCACAAAGGTCGGCTATCATAGTTTCCTACATGCATAAACTCCATATTACTTCTGGCACCATCTCTGAGGTCTAGTTTGCGGTAAATAACAATTATATAATGAATAAAGAATTATACCAATAAACTAAAAAGGAAAAACTTCCTAGCACCCCAACCCTAGGATAAGAACCAGGGGATGAGACATCGAAAAAAAACAAATGAGGTAGAGGCAAGGATGTATAATCTTTTACAAATGCTGGCACCCGGAACCATTATTTTAAAACCCAGACCAGAGGGCAACCAGTTTTGCTGCCCGGGTCACGGGTCAACCAGTCCAATCGGTTGGACCGATGATGTCAGCTACAATTTCAATTTAAAAAAATTACATATTAATCCCTTAAATTTTAATATATTACAAAAATTCCCCTAAAAAGTTCAAATTAGTTCCTCAAATTTTTATATATTTCAAAAATGCCCAAAAAAAATAACCAACTAATCCCTAAACTTTTGACATATCTCCAAAACACCCCTATGAAATTATCAATTAACCCTTATAATTTTGAAATTTTACAAAAACCCCCCTAAGAAGTAAGTCCTGAACCGGACCGGAGAAGCTGCCGGGTCCCAGCCGGTCCGGTCCGATTTTTAAAACAGAGCCCGGAACACACAAAAAGAAGCCTTTGGGTGCCTAAACACTAGCTCATAAACAACACCCAGCAGAAATAAATCTGCCACCAAAAAAAAAAAAAAAAAAAACCAGATCAGTAACGGAACTGCAGAAGACCAAAGTGCCTGTTCTTCAACTCCAAGTCAGCACAGCTCAGCCCGCAACAGACCAAAGGCGTGTGACGGTGTGAGACACAAGCCCAAACCGCCTGCCAGCGTCTTCCAGCCAGCCCAGAAGACAAGCAACCATCCCAGCGCAGAAAAAAGATCCCCACAACACCATCCCTTATTATATATCTTTTAAAGTAAATCAAATATATAGAACAAAAAATAAAAGAGTATATATTTAAACAATCACTTTTTAGACATGACATTTAGATCTTAAAGATTCTGATTCTCTAAGAAGCATGATGAATGAAATAAAACATCAAAGTTTAACCTAAATAAAAAGTAAGATATTATCAATTTGTAATATCGATTACAATCAATACATGCTACTTACAGAAAAAATAAGTGTTTCCAGATAATCACAATTGTCAGCAGTAGAAATTTGTGAACTATAATCAACATGTTTTAGAGTTGGAAGCTAAATTTGGAACATTTACTCGAGAAATCTACTTACATGTCAGTTCCCAAATAGGGTTTTTATTTATATTTCGTCTGCATACTCAGCACTCGCAAGAAAAGTAAATTTTCTTTTCAAATCAGCAATAATCATGAGAAAAAACAAGCTGACCATTCTACTCTAGATGTGAACATACAGCGAAAAAACAATTGATAGAAGTTATTTGAGTCTAATAAACAAGGAGAATTTCTCTCATCTAATCTTTTATCTTTTTGGCGGTGACATCACTACATTACCTTCGTAAACAAAAGTTCAGAGTTGAAAGCTTGTACGCTGAGCTTTATGAATAAAAAAGCTACTACATTCCCTGAAAGAAATCATGACGGAATAAATTTTATAACATGATGAAACCCTAAAATTCTAAACCTGAGTGTATTATACTTGGCACAGTTACAATGTGTGGAATCCTAAAACGAAAGCCTAATTACCGAGTCCTTGCATCCCACTTCAATGCCAGTCTGTTACATCCTTCAAAACAGGGTAGGTTAGAAATTGAGCTCCCGAGTGTACAAACAAGACACAAGGCAGAGCATGTTCCAGGAGAAATCATTAGATAAAATCAAATCATAACTTAAATCTCCTTTTTACGAGTGAGGAGAGAGCAAACAATCTTGGTTATGGGTGGGTTTTCCATTATAGTTTTCCTCACCATCATTCTCTCCCTGGTTTGGAAATGCAAGAGGAGGGAAATCCTCATCTTTCAACTGGTAATTCCTCTGGGCCACTGATCTGGCAATAAAATCAAAGCCCCCTGTTAAGATGATAAATCGACAACCATCACAAAACAATCCCAGATAAACAACAAGAGTCAACTGATAAAAAGGAATAAAACTGAAAGATAATCAATTCTACACTGAACTCATATTTGATAAAACTATAAATCATGTGTAACAAGTATTATAGCTAATACCTTTTCCTATTGTCTATATATCATTATCTCCATCATAATTTTAACCGCCAAATGAGCAAAAAAGCAGCCACCAGCAATTTTGCATTGCTGAATTTTAAGATATATGGGTATGGCTTGTGAGATATTGTGCCTACCAATACCATTATGAACTGGCTATTGGTGGGACATTATACAAGGGAAATATGCTTTTCAAGCTACCTGCATTTCACTAATCATGCAACTACTGAACTATCTAGCATAAACAAAATCATCAACTACCTCTGAATGTGGGGAGAAGGCTGATCGGGTGAAGACCGTTGACCTGAGGTTCCATGAAACCTCTGTTCATCAAATGTCCCACTTGATCTACTTCCCTCACTGATCTGTGATACTTCATTCGGACCTGAGGAACCCACTGGTCCAAGAGACCCAAACTCAAGCTGTTCAGCAGGAGAACCATAAGTAGCATTATGATCATAAGGATACAGCATGACAACAGGTGGCATCGTAGGTCCATTCAGTGACACCCCATTGGGGTTCATGGTTGAGAGTGGATACATGCCATATGCAACATTAGCAGAGCCACCCTGCGTGGAATTTGGGCGAAATGGACCATTCTGCGAGTGGTATGAATGGAAGTTATCATGTCTATGTGAACCCCAAGGCCTGTCAGCTTGACTCTCACTTGTAGCTAACCGGTCTGGCCTTGAGCTTGATTTATCAATTTGGCTACGATTATGGCTACGCCCAGAAGCTCGTGACTTGGAATTAACATTCCAGTTTCCTTCTCTTTCACCAAGGTGGTCACCTCTGTCATGGCTATAATTCCCCCTTCTGGTACTTGAGGAATGCCGGTCCCTTGGAGAAACCTTCTGAAATACAACAAAAAAGAAAATGGTGATGTTACCTATACACATATTTGACCATCAAGTGACTCAAAAGCAACTATGATAAGAGATTGAAAGAAACTAGCACTTTCACCAAAAAAAAAAAAAAAAAAAAACACCTAGCACAAGAACAAAGACAACCAGAGTTGAACATTGCACATTCAAGTTATTAAGAAGTTATTAAGGGCAGAGTATGCCAGTATGCTTCATCCCTGAAACTCCCCAAATCACACGGCACTAACTCACTACCTTCTAGAGCATTATCTTCCTAAGTACAATTTCTTTAAAAAAGGAGTAATGTATTGTGGGCAGTGGACTAAGAGTATGCACACAGTATCTGCAATCTACTATAGAGGGATTGAAGAGTGTAAAAAACCAACAATAAAAGCCAATGATCCTAAACCATTACTTGGCAATCATATGAAATTATATTCTTTAAATGACAAACTTTTAGTTACACAAGGTAGCAAATTAAGGGGTGGCCCTCACAACCATGCACATTTTATTCTTCAAAAAAAATCACTCCATTGTGGAGCAAAAGGATGCAAATGAGAACGTTACACGGAAAATACTATCCTTAAAATAACATGTTGGGAATTCTGTTTACCATAATACTGGTTAACACAATTAACATCGCAATACAAGTACAGTAAACCTGACAAATGGAACAGGAACTGTGATACTATATTTTAAGAAAAATTGTCATCTAGTGAACTGTGTACATGCTTCATGATTGTGAAACAAAGATAAAATTTTGTCAATGCAGAAAGAATATAATAGTGGATAAATAGAAATCAAACTGCCACTAGAAAAGAACGCCTGCTGAAAATTAATCTTACAGGATTTGGCAGGTAGGTCCCAGTCCCACCACGATATCTAGGCATTTCATCAATATAACGTTGGTAAACACCAGCAGGCCTATTAGAAGAAGATTGGAGAGGAGCAACAGGAACAAGGCGAGGCCCATAACCCATAAGCTGAGTTAAAAGATTCATGTTGGCCGAAAGGGGTCTTCCAGGACCATCCCATGGCAGTCTGCCTTGTAAATAGCCAGGTGGCACCATAAAAGGTGAAGGATAAATTAAAGGTGGAGATAGCCGTGGGTTTTGGCAAAACCGACCATATTGTAAATTTTGCCAATGGCTAAGAAAGTCGCTGTTAAGAATGTCAGACTTGTGCTCTGATGGCTCAACAGAATCAGACCTTCTCACAGAGTTAGAAGTACTCGATGCCTCAGACTGGTCAAGTCCCTCAGACAAATCAAAGTTTTGACCAGAATCACTGTTATCCAGTCCCTCATCCCCACTAAAATGACTTGTTGATGCATCAGTGGTTCCTGTCTCAGTTTGGTAGTTGCAAAATGGAACTGGAAGCATTGTAAGAAAAGGAACTGGTGGCCCAGTGGGATAAAATGTGAAGGGAAGCACCCCTGAATTGTCCATAGCTCTCTGTCGAGAACCAGGGCCAAAGAGCATTGGACCAATGGGAATAATCGAATCCGATCCACTTGTTTGAGCTTCTTCAGATCCTGGTATTTGATGCCTTGAAACATGTAAAGAACCAGCAGATTGAGGTCCTGTGCTTCTATCTGCCATTTCAGTGCCCATGTTTGGTAGCGGATTCCAATCTCTGTTATCTTCATCAGCCTGAACAGATGAATGTTCAGATACACTCTTACCTTTTCCATAAGCAGCAGTAGAAGCTGTTTTCCGACCCCTTTTTTCTCTTGCTGACTTTGAAACCTTTACGGATGATCCTTCCGAAGAACTCTCAGAATTGGTTTTACTTCTCAGAGAACTTGTATGTGAAGCAGGCATAGACCTCGAACTTGCAGATCTATCATCAAAGTGAACCTCATTACCTCTAGTATCTTGAGAATGGAAAGAATCAGCATGATCTTCCCTTGTTGACCCTCGAGCTTCTTTAGTGAATTTATGTGAAGTTCTTCGAGAAGAGCCAGAGCCACCTATTCGAGATGAAGGGACAAAGTTATAACCAGCAGAAGTTGATTGTTGCTTATCATCTGACTGAAGCATCTCAAAGTTTCCATTATCAAGATCGAATCCACCAGAGGCACCCCGTTCCTGCTCATGCCAGTGATCCTGCTCAGCCTCCCTAGGGTTCAAATCTGAAGGACCAAAATTTTCAGTACCAAGTTCATGTGAATCTTCCGGTTTTGAGGCCACTCCAATGCCAGGAAAATAATGGGTCATGTGTGGAGGGACCAGACTTTGGGGAAATTGCATATTTGCACCAGATTGAGTCTCAATCAAGGGAATATTAGGGAACATTCCACTTAAATTTCTGTGAGAATATCCCATTGAAGCTAGAACAGAAGGTGGGAATGGAAGAGGTAGCTGACCAGAGCCCATATTCAGTGGAAAATGGACCTGTCCATTAAAATTATGAGCAGCATTTGCCATCATATTCACAAGATCTTGCTCCTCCTGTTGCATCCCTAGTGTGCCCACACCAGAAGAAAACTCTTCCCCCATAGCACCCAAGACAAAATCATCATTGTAACTATTCAACACACTGTTTGAATCAGCAGGCGCATCAAGGCTTTGACGGGATGAGGTGTGGCTAACAGATGACGGATCATCAGTTGAAGATCTAATGTCATGACTCACCAAAATATCAGATTCCAAGTTCTTTCTCCGACTATTGTCCAGCCTTAATGAAGCAAGGTGACCTTTTCCACTATCTGAGGCTTTGTTAGTTCTTCCTTGGGTAGAAACTTCACCATATGTGTCTGTGAGCTCAGGGCTAGAGCGTGTCCTTGCAAAAAGATACCTACCTCTAATGTCACTAGCCAAGCTATCAGGCTTAAAACTTCTGAGAACTTTATCATTCTGCGCATTCTGATTGGTATTGATATCCCGTCTGACCTGATCAGGGGTCCTGGTGTTGTTCAAGTTACCATAACTCCTTTGGGTTTGGGCATGAGAAACTGTAGAGAAATAACTGCTTCTAGAAGTGCTTTCAGAGGGATGATTACCAAGTTGAGAGGGAGCACCAAAAGATTCATGTGACCTATCCACTTGAGTTTCATGACCAGAGGAAACCTCATTTCTTTGACCACTGGAATTTGAATTGGTATGAAGATTCTCAGACTCAACTTGATGGTCTAGATTTGATAACCTCAAGCGCCACAAGTCATTCCTTGGTGCATCAGGACGATGGCCACTACCATGTCTGTCCCAAGTGTTCATAAAAAACTGATTTACTTCATAATGTAGATCCTCTTTGGGGCAATCAAGTAACCTCGCCAACCTTTTAGCCCCAAATGCAAATGCACTACGTATCCTAAAGAAGTTACCTGCATAATTGAAACATATATGTACAGAAATAAACAAATCACTAAACATTCAAACAGATAATACAAAAGCCGGTCAAGATGTTACAACAAGAGCGTTAACATTTCACAGAAGATGTTATATGTTTATAAAAACTAAGGAGCCTAAGTGCATAACTTGATATTTTCTTCCTTTTAAACAGCAGTCTCTAACCTCACACAGATAGCAATTTTGAGTTGCAGATATATATCGGTATTAATGAATTTGCCACCACGTTCAGATTATTTTTTGAACTTCTAAGAGAAATTGTTACAAAAATGCATATCATCTACAAATGTGTGCTGGTGTACTTCATGCAGGCACAAACAAAGAAATGCAAGGAATGTGTTAAGTTAAAAATACGATCATTAAGATTTCAAATCAAACAAAAAGTAGATCATTTCAACCAAGTCTCAAACATCTTAGCAGATTAAGCCCAAAAAAGGAAAGTAGCATCTTTAGGTAAATATTTTAGAGCCCATGCAAGCAAAGAATGTGACACAAAGACAAATCTAGATACTGAAAATGTATTTAGTGCACCTTTACTAACACTGCGTCCAAGGTTGTTGTTTTCACGCAAAGGATCAATCACATTAAAATGTTTCGAAACAAAAGGTTGGCTCGGATTTTCTTGCCCAACAGGACAAACAGCATATGTAGTGCTACACGCATCAAGAAATGATTTGCTAAGCAGCAACACTCCGCCATCTTTTCGAGGTGGTTCTGCTGTAAAACATAACAATACAAGGAATGTTAATCCTGGCATATGGCCAAACATTTGCAAACTAGAGGTTAAAGTATCAAAACATTAATTAAAATCTTTAAGGAAATAATTCTACCAGTTACATCTGGAAGTGAACTGATGGGTACAGGACCCCAGAGGCTAAGACAAAAGTTGTCCCAGTCAAACTTACTAAAGAACTCTAGAAAACGATAAAGGACCTGCAATTGCAAAGGAACAAACATTCAGAAACATAAATAAACAAATGTAGAAGATAGAGATATTGTGGTCACACAGCCACCTCGAGTGGTCCAGAAAAAGAATTGTTGAAAACATGAAATATGTAAAGAACCAAGGTCTCTAGTGCATAAGTCGATATGAGTCCATGGTGAGCACCCAGTATACGGCTCTCATAGTAACACCAAGCTTTTATCAATATAATGCTACGCTTGAATAGATGACTGTGATTTATCACGTGGTCAACCTATGGAAGAGAAAAGAAAAAAATTCATTTAAAAAAGACACAAAAGCATTATAAAGAAAGATTCAATTAAAGGCTACTAGTATGGACATTCACCTCTTCAAGGAAACAAAGGGTGCATAACCCTCCAAGCTGGTTAAACGATATGTCTACCACAATATTTTCCACAAGACACTTTATTAGTTTTACCTGATAATAAATAAAGGAAAAGAGAGAGTTAAATTTACCACCAAGAAAAAAATCCATAAGGCAAGAAGTGCTAACTAGATTATATGAAAATTTATGCATACGTTATCCAAAAGATTATAATAAAGATTTAGTGGACAAATAAGCATCCTCTTTAATAAATATCACTAGTATAAATACAGTCGCAGCTAATTGCATTGCAAGACTTATGCTAAAATTTCAAGAGAAGAAAATGTGATAAATTAAAAACGAAGAGCTCCTTAACACTTGAAATTAAATTTAAAAGAAAAGGACAAAGAAGAGAGACACAATAAGGTTTATCTGTTCACGACACAAGATGAGATTCTTCAATAATCAACAGTATCCCCTAGCACACAAAATAATACACTATTTGGTATTGGGGCTTTCCCTTCTCAATAATCATGTATATCTTATCTATCTATAGCAGTTCAGGAATTTTTCATTGTAAGATTTTTTTTGCTGCTCTACCTAGTAGTTAAATGTTTATAAATCAACTAATGCAACTCCCCTGATTCAAAAGCCATCTACTGAGGTAAATCTCATGCATGACTTGTATTAAATATATTCACAATTGGACAAGAAATAAGACACCAGGGCTGAATTCAAGACAAGGTGGTCGACTATGTAAAAAACATTAAAGCTTTAAGGAAACCATTGAAACCTACTTCTGCCTGAATGTATTGAACCTCCTTCACATGGAATTCAGCGTGCTCATTTTTCTCCTCATTCTCCAACATATCGCGCACCTGATGTGCCCATGTGTCCTTCAAATTTTGATTATCACTGAAGGCTGTTAAGTCAATGTCCCCATCAGGCAAATACGTCTTAAGGGGAACGGACCCAAAAGTGAAAACCTGTAGATTAAAATGGACACAAATAAATACCGACATAAGAAAAGATGAGATGAGTATGCAAAAAGATCTGCCCACTATAAATTAACCCTAGTCTCCACCCATTTATTTTGTATCTTTACATTAACTTACTACTTAAAAACAACAATAAATTCTTATAACAATACAATAAAACAGAAATCCTTATATATACACGTATTTATCAATAGAAAAGGCCAACCTGACAAGGGAAACATTTGACTATGAGGCGCTGCACATAGTCTGCAACAGCACTGCGGCGCTCCTCAGAGAAAGAGTTTGGCTGAATGCAGGCAATAAGCTCTGCAGTTCTGTCCTCGGCCTTCAACCATCGTTCCGAGTCAAGAACTCGGATGACTGAAGCCGCCTCATTGGGCAATAAACCATTTAATAATAGCCCACTTGGTGGCTCCGTCCACCCTTCATGCTCTCCCATGCAATCCCTATGATTTTCCCTCGGCCAAACGTAACCCAAAATGTCTCCACCACCCGCAACAACAAGACAAACAGATTTAAAACCACAGCAGGTAATACAATAACTACTTGATGATGTTTTGCTGGATTAAACTAAGTTATTCGCATTCAGATAATTACAGTTTTTATGCTGCCAGACAAAGAAACTTGGAAATTAGTTGAGTTTCTCTAATATTTTTCTGAAGTAATACTAACAAACATTGGGGTATTGTATTACCTAAAGAAAAATACAGAATTGTAAATTGTAACAAATTGAATCTACCGAGTAAAGAAAGGTGCAAACCCTAGGCGATTAATAACCAAGCAGAAGAAAATCAGTGATAAAAATTGGGGTTGGCTTAAATTATGAAAACCTAAGAAGAATGTTTTGAACCGAAGTATGGGTGTGTCGGCGAATCAAAGATGAAAGTATAGGGATGGTTGTTTGGACGAAGAGGGACAAAGACAAAATAGCAAATGCGAGAGGCCAAGATTGGGGTATTAAATAAAATGGCGGAAAGATGAGGGGTGTGGATCAATATTAGGTTTTTATTGAGAGAAAGAGAAAGGGCGTGTTTGGTTACAAGAATAAGGAATTTTGGAGGCGAAACGAGAGAGGGACGATGAGGAAGGAAGTTAGCACATTCAAGGGGTTTTTCTATTTTTTAAATTACAAATATATTGAGAAAGAGAGAGGATGATAAAATCTGGAGAAGGAACAAAGAGAGAGAAAGAGAGGAAACATAATGAAAAATTGTTTTTGATAAATTATTACCAGCGTTCTTTTCTTTTCTTGTTTTTCCTGACAGAAGGGCTAGGCCCAATAAAAAGCTCCGGCCCAATAAAAAGCTCCGGCCCAAGTCGTCAAAGGTATCTTTTGAGACAGCACCGGTTTTCAAATTTATACCGTTTCGTTCGTTGAAACGCACAGTTGGTTTCTGATAAAGCAGTACGACATCATACCGTCTAAATTCGGTTTTTGAGACAGCAACGGTTTTCATTCTCCGAACCCGCGTTGGATTTCAACAAACTATTCATAATTGAAAGGAGAGCGGTTTACTAAAAACCCTAATTCTTGCTCAGCAATTCAACTCCTGGAAATAATCCTTCACAGTAGGTAATTGATATATATACTCTTTCTATCTCCATTCTGGAACTTTGATTGGTTATGCATTCGAGTTTTAGTTTCACTGTGTTCGTCCAATTAGGGTTTACGCATTCAGATCATATGTGATTGATTTTTGGGTGGTTTTGTCTTTTGAATGTTAAAGCAAATGAGTTTTAACTAATTTACCATTTCGGTACTGTGATTGCCGTATTTTTAGGTTCCTTCGCTGTAATCTGATATTCTGTGGTTACAGCATTTTTGAAGCTTCGCGTTTTTACTTTTAAATGGCTCAGTCAGGCGAAGCTCAACAGTCAGAGCAAGGTTTGCTTTTATTTTCTTTTTCGCCTTGTTTTATTTTCGTTTATATTAGCTGTTGTCATTTCCTGTTAATTCTAAAACTTCTGTATTTTCAGTTTGCAATTTCTTTAGAAAGCCATCAAAGAATAAGAACATTAGAAAAAGAACTACGGATGAAGAGGAAGAGGAAGATTCAAAAACGGAGAGTTCAGTGTTACAGAACCTCAAAAAGGCACCCAAGTCTGATGGGAAGCTATTTTTTTCAACTGGGTCCTCTAAGAGCGTTAGGTCCACTGAATCAAATGCAGAAACTGATAAGCGAATATTTCAGTTTGAGTCTTCAAAGGAAATTCAAGTACAGCACGACAGCAAAGCAACAGCAACTCTTGAAACTGAGACTGAGTTCTCAAGAGACTCTCGTGCTCTTCGTGAGAAAGTCCTTAAGCGATCAGAGGAGGCTTTGAAGGGAAAAGGTTCAGGTGATGAGAAATTGTATAAAGGGATTCATGGATATGTTGATCACAAGGCTGGCTTCCGAAGAGAGCATACTATTTCAAGTGAGAAAGCTGGGGGTTCGCATGGCCCTCTTAGAGCTTCTGCTCATATAAGGGTATCTGCAAGGTTTGATTATCAGCCAGACATATGCAAAGATTACAAAGAGACTGGTTACTGTGGGTATGGTGATTCATGTAAGTTTATGCATGATCGAGGGGATTACAAGTCTGGGTGGCAGATGGAAAAGGAGTGGGAGGAAGCAGAGAAGGCAAGGAAGAGAAATTTGGCTATGGGAGGGAATGATGCGGATGAAGGTGACGAAGTTCCAAGTGATGAAGATGATGATGACGCGTTGCCCTTTGCTTGTTTCATTTGTAGACAGCCTTTTGTGGATCCTGTTATGACTAAATGCAAGCACTACTTCTGTGAGCATTGTGCTTTAAAGGTATAATATGTCCCATTTTTATCATAATGACTAATGAGGCATAATCTATCTAATGTTTGTCCTTGATTTTGTTGTATATATATATTCATGTATGAATTGGTTGATTTTGTATCTTTGGCCAAATGGTTATGCAACGTTTTTCTTATATGAAGATTAGAGCTTCTGTTTACATTTTATTCACACTAGATGTCAACTTGTTATACTTCCTCCAAGAAATGTCTTTGGGGAAATTGCAGGTTTAAGTAATGTTATAAAAGCTTGATAATGGAGCTAGAATTCTTATTTTTCTTTGATTTAGAGAAATGTTTATTACTATTAAACATAGTCAATGTTTAACATTTTAACGGGTGTGTTTTCTGTTTATTTTGTACTTGAGCATCCTTTCTTTAGGTCATAATTACAACTTTCTTCTCACTTTCATGTCTAATACCAAGTTCATATATGTTTTCTCATTTAATCATAATCTAACTCAAGTCCCTCTTTTGTGCTTTTCTGTCCCCAGCATCATGCAAAGAACAAGAAGTGCTTCGTATGCAACCAACCAACACTTGGCATTTTTAATACAGCTCATGAGATACGCAAAAGGATGGCCGAAGAGGGTAGAAAATAATCTCATAAACTTCTTTGCCTTTTGGTCCTGTGGACTGTAAATCCTTCTTCAATGTCAATGATTTACACGTATCTTTGGGCAGATGTGGAATTACTGGGTCAGGTTTCGAGCTACCTCCTTTGGGTGATTGTTTAAGTGCCCAGGCTTGATACTTTCTCTTCCCTCTTGGTGGATGATTAATAATAGTTGACGATGATCCTATATTGTTTACATTGGGTATCGTCAATTTGTAGTATTTTTCCCAAGGATTTAACATGATTTAAACTCCAGAAACAAAGTAGTATGGCCATCCTCTGAAGTCTTCTCCTGTAATGTTAGCAATTTTCTTTGTAATTTCTTTCTTAATTGCTCTGATATTGAATGGTTTTTTATCACCATTATAATACATATATGTATTACTTGAGAGTAATATACTTTTTTGCCCTTAAGAAGCTCTGCTTTCTTCTAATTTTGTTCTTCTTAATACTTTTAATGGTACATATTCCGTGTTTCAACTAGTGGAAAAATTATTTCGATGAGAGAGTCCATATGCAAAAGAAAGAGAGGAGAAACCTGTGCAATTTATTTTATTAACAGTGTTAGTCGGTGATGAATAACACATTCGTATGGAGTAAGAACTTATGTATAGCAGCTGTACATGAAAGAGATACACACAGAGAGAATAAATTAAATCCCCCAATTTAATGTATTAACGGATCACCCCGTAAATGGCTTCAAACACCAGTCATAACCTCCTTCGTCAACAACTTGTCACCCTGCAAGTTATTTTCATGGCTCCAGGCGTGTGGAGAAGGTGAAGTAAGCAAAGGCCATAATAGATTCCTCTGTTTTCTGGCTTTACGAAACACCATCCTTGTATGTTGTCTTAGAACTCCATTTACAGCTTTCAAGTAATTGCTTGAGTCATGGTCTCTAAGGATTGTGCCTTCTGAACCATATGCAGTAGGATCACTTAGAGTATCTAAAGGGTGGGGACAGTTTAGGAAGGAATTTAATGCGCTGGTGTACCCAAACTGGGTCTTGTCTAGGGCATATAGAGCATTCCCCGGAGGAAGAAGTGGATGCGAAGGAGATGATTTCTCATTCGGTTGGAGAACAAAAATTTTGCCCAATGGAGAGTATAACAGTTTCTGCATAAACAACCAGACGGTAGTCAATAAACTTAGAAAGTAGATTGAAGAATGGTTGTGATTTGTTTGTATCATGAATGAGATACTTACGTTTTTATTTAGACAAGGGTGTGATCGTAAGGGACCATTCAGACGCTTGAGGACTAAGGCCACATGGTTGGGATAGTTACAGGAGAAGGCTCTAGGTACAATATCTCTATGCATCATCACACAATGAACATGGCTCTCGTCCAATCCCAAATAATCGAGTATCTTTCGGCCTCCACAGAACACAGACGGTGAACCAAAGGTAACGACTGGTCGAAGACAAGAGGGCTTGACAATATTTCTAGTCAATAGCATCAAATTTACAAGAAGAGAGAGACTACCACCAAGCGAATGACCAGTAAATTGAAGCTTTGCACGATCACCATATTTATTTAGATGGTCCATGATCTCTGGCATGAATTGCTCGTATATTCCTTTTGCAGCTTCATAAATTCCCCTATGAACAAGCACATCTGTTCCCTGAGAGAAAGGCAGTAAGATTTTAATGATGTTAGTTTTCTTTTATTATTCTAATGGAAAGGTGCTCTTTCAGCTCACCTCAAATCTAGTAGGCTCGAAGAAAAGATTAGCTTGCCAAGATGCCAGGGAGTCCGATCCCTGCAACAGAAAGAATACTAGCACGTCAGGCATTCAGTAATACTAATGTCAATCTGTATTGAAAATGAAGTAGAATAACTGTTTCATATAAACACTTCATGGTTGTTAAAAAATTATGGATATGAAGTAAGATGGAGGAGGAAAAAGGAATTGACCTGAATCACAAAGCAGCGAGTGTATGTGCTTGAATCGTCACAAACAAACCATTCACAAGGTGAAGAATGAAGGGACTGAAGATCCTTTGCAGCCTCTAGCTTTTCCTTCTCTCCTGCTGCAACAACTGCAGTCATTGTTGATGCTGCTACGTAAGCAGCTACCTCTGATTTATATACTCGAGGAGAATTCCCTTCAACTTCTTGTGGTTGGTCTCTATTGTCACATAAATTTATACCATCATCCTCGCGTGAATCAGAGCCAAGAGACAGAAGGTCCTTAGCACGAGATTGAACATAAGATGCAGCTGATGCCGCAATCTTAGAAGCAACAGATGGTCGAGTTGGACGTATCTGCTCAAGTTTCAGAGTGTTTTCTGAATAAGATTGAGCGGCTATTGGGTCGGGTACACAAATAGAGTCTTGATTGAGTTCATCTTTTATGGCAGTTGCCTCTGCTTTCTTTTCGAGGGAAGATGTTACAAACTGAATGCCATAGTACCTTCTCAAATCCTTAGCCTGCATATTACAAGGGTGAATTTATTTCTTTGTCTAGCAAGATATGTTTAATTTACTCCCAGCTACTTTGATAATAAAATGAGTAAAAGAAAAACTATGATTACAAATCCTGGGAAATTAATCATTTTCTCTTTTAATAGTTTCTACAATCCAAAGTTAAAATTTTAGCTAGAATAGTTAGTCGATGCCATGTTATCAACTAGACATATAGTGAAGTTCAAAAAGCTTTGGACAGTCCTCAGACTAGCCATTCTATTGGTTGTTTCTAATTAAGAAATTGTCTAATTGGGTGATAGGCAAACATGATGTGCAAGAAAAGAAAAACACATACCTTAATCTCAGGTATCACATAAGCGATGTTACACAAGAAAGCCAGTTGAGAAAATAGCTTGGTATCAGACAATGGTACTCTAACCAATAATCTTGAGAAGGATTCACGGTCATATCCAACTTCACCTCCTTCTTCGACTTCAGAACCATAACCTACCTCACAACCACCCTCATCTGCATCACACTCACGAAAACTATTTTCATCCTCTTCACGAGCATCTTCTCCATCTTTATTCTCTTCTTGCGGCCTACTCGCCCATTCTTTTCTGATTTGCATAAGCCTCTCCACCCAATTTGCCCTATTTATTTTCTTTTCTTCTTCACTGCTCTCCTCAGCATCGTCAACAACAATATTCATGTCCTTCTCTTCTATATTCATATCTTTACTCGTTTCAGGTTCAAATAAAAACGATCTTACTGAATTTGGGATTATAGAGCTAGTTATCTGAAATGGGAAGAATCCAACTGAAGGGCTGCTCTTCAGTTTTGGCTGAGTTGATGCTGCACGTACACGATTTATAGAGTGACAAAGGTTGTTATCAGAATAAGACCTTCGAAGACCTGCTTGTTTACAAAGATCTTTGCCTGACTGTGATCTACGAAGACCATCATTTTCTCGGAAGATGTCTTTAGTTTTTGTGCCAACTGGGGAGGTAGCAATGCTCACTGTTGTATATGCCATCACTTGTATCAGATTTTTGTTCCACAAATGCTAGCACTCCTCCTACTGATAATTAACACTTTCCACCCCTTGGCTAAGCCTGATAAATAACCAACCTCTTTTAACGAACAATGTATAAAAATACATATATAATTAGTGCTGAAACTAAAAACTTGGAGATTTTGGCGGAGTTACTGAAAACAAACTAGTTATGGCAACAAACCTTATGAAGACACCTTGGAGAACCAAGAACAACCTCGATAACAACAAGACGATCAAGATGCCACAATGTTTTTGCATTTGGTCAAATTACCAAATTATAGGCTATCGGCTTATGGCTATATAAGACTGTTACGAAATTGAGGCTATACAAGTCATTAAAAAAAAGACACATAAATAGGTTTGTCCAAGATGAGGTTTCCATCACCAACCGTACTTAGAGTATGTGTTAATCTAGGTACTAAACGGTAAAGTTTTAGATTATACTTGATTACTTTTAGCTTAATGGAATCAAATATGCTCCTTCAGCGACTAACATTATCACTACTGTTAAATTTAATAACGGTGACTCCTATCCTCCTAGGTTTACTCACTTCACTAATATCTTTAAGCAAATTTAATCCAATATTTTCGATTCTTCTATGTTCAAACGTAAACTAAATCCGGGATTGAAACTTAAATTTGAAAAAATTCAAAGCAGAAATATATTTACTAAGAAAAAAGTTTCGGTTACATTGAAATCAATAATATGCAAAATGAATCTCTTAGAAATGGGGTTGTTGAATACACTTTGAAGGTGTATGGTTCATAAAAAGACATATGCAGAAGTGGTCAGTCCAAACAGTAGAAGGTTGTGTAACGAAATTTGTCTTAAGCGAAAAAAGTTTGATGGTGCTGGTCTTAATGGGAGGCTCGAGGCTTTACCTTTCAGGTTACCGTTCCAAATCTAAGTATCTCCCATTCTTGAAAATGTCCGTCCTCGATTATATCTGCCACTAATTACAAAAATTAGGTGGTTATAGAAAAGAAACTAAAAACTAAAAGGAGTGTTTCACATAGGGGTTACAACTTTGAAAAGCATGTGGTCACATAATTCTATTAAATAAACTCTTGAAATTATCGAAAATTTTAAAAGGTTGGGACCGACGTTGTTTTAATCTTAATAACTCTTTATCAAATCGGAACTAACAAAGCCACTATTAAATATATAACGTTTATGAATATACCGCAACTTACAATGCCAAAGTAAATTATAATTAAATACAAACTAAGACTGTATTATTCAGTTCAACCCAATGAAAGAAAAGGGGAGAAAGAAACTGCACGGGGATTGGGCCCAGCCTAGCCTGGCCCAGACCAGGGGGAAACAGCACCTAGATGAGTTGTAGCCATTTTTTAGCTCTAATTTGGTTGATCAAACAAAAACTTGAAGAAAGTCAGAGAAGGAAACTTTTGTTGAGTTTAATGTAATTAATTAGTAACAATAATTCTGATAATCATATGCATATAGAAGACCGTAAACTCGGAACAAAACCGAAAGAGCTTTGTAGAAAATCAAAAGTACCTAGAATATTCAAGCCTTCATGCTGTTATTTCCTTCCAGAATCTGATCATTCCAATGGAAGTGACGGCGGCATTGAAAGGGAAAGCTAAGTTATACATTTATATAGCTCACATTGACATAATCCCATCGATGTAATCTACCAGAAACAAAAGCCTTGACATTTCAAAATATTTAGACAAGGAAGCTAAGCGGCAACGGGAATGTGAATTTGTATGTTGTTGTTTGAAGGTGTATTCGGACAAGACGCTCAATTATCGCGACTCTTATTTGTACAATTGGTTTCTTTCTCTTCGGGGAGATCTGAGTAATTTATATATAAGAGGAATCGATTCAAAGAATCGCCTGAAAAAGTGTCCACGTACCAGAGAATCTAATCACGTGGATGTTTTATAAGCGTTACCACCTTTAAACATGTAATTTTTTCTTTGACGTAAATGCCACTAATGTATTTATGAATTTGTGGGATTTAAGGAAGTGGTGAGTAGCCAAATGTGTGGTTGCATGAAGTAGTGAGTGCCAGTAGGCTACACATTTTGTGAGCTTGGTGGCATGTGCACCTCCTGCCTTATTTGTTTTGCTTTCCCGCCAATTCCAGTGACGTTACGAATTATGATAGAAACCGAAACTGCGCCTACATCTCTTCCCATTTTAAACACTTGCCACGTTTTCTTAACAAAGATTCTAGTTCTACCACCCTCCTCCTCCTCAGCCCTCCCCCTCCCGCTCCCCCACCGTCACCGAATCTCTTTTCTTTGTGTTAACACGTGTCGTGTCATGTACCTTAATGACGTCACTCTTCTGCCCACCCGGTTCTAACTTCTCACGTGTTTTTCATGTCTCAGTGTCAGTTCTTCCTCGTCTTTTCTAATGGACTGGGCATACGTGTAATTAGTTGGGTCATGTTTCGGCCCGAGATTTTGATTTTGGGTCATATTATATCAGTTTGCTATAATGTTATACTCACTTAAACTGGAGATGAAAACTTCTGTTGACGTTTTTTATTATTTCTTGGGCCGTTTGGGTAGGGTAATATTAGATAACTGGGATAATATTTTTAAATTGAGCAGATCATGATGTTTAGTTGATTTGTAAAAAATTATTCTCGAAATTGGGTAAGGATGTTTTTGTTAAGTTTAAAACGTTTTTGGTTGCTAAAGTGTTTTTGCTAAATCTAAAAAGTGGGGGGTTAAAAGAAATTATTTAAAAACAAATAAAAAAAATATTATTATATTACTCCCTTTGTTTCAATATAACTGTCGTTTTAAGTTTTTACGCAGTTTTTAATAAATCAAAAACTGTGCAGAGAATTGACTTTTTCCTTATATTGAGTGGGAAAATTTTGTTTTCTTTCCTACAACACATGTGTGAAATATTAAAATAAAAAGAGAGAAATTGTGAAAGAGAAGAGATAAGGGGAAGAGATAGATAAAGAGAGAGAGAGAGAGAGGAGTGTGGGCAGGGTAGAGAAAAAGGTAGAGAGAGGAGATGGGGGGCTGGAAAATGAAGATGTGGGTAAGAAAACATTGAAAAAAGAGAACGTCATTTATTTTGAAAAAAAATTAATACCCTTAAAATGACTTTTATAAAGAAACAGAGGAAGTAATATTTAAAAAAGAAGGGTAATTTAGTAATCTATATAACATATCCACTCATTTATCCTCCCAACCAAACATATTATTCACCAATTTATTCGAATCAACCAAATACATTTTCTAAACATTTCTAGTAATCTTCAAGGTGGTCTTTTTTTCTGTTAATATAATATCCCCTATAATAAAACATTATATGATCCAAACATCTCCTTGGGTTGTCAGTAAATGCCCATGACAATTGATTGTCCAGATGAGCGGGGTTCAAATTTGTAGTGCATTGAACATAAATTATGTTTTGTAAATTAATACCAAAAGGATTTTTGTTGATACGTGATTCTGACACAAACAACGTCGCATGTGCAAAGTACTAAGAGAGTTTTAAAAATTACACGTGAAATGATTATGAGAGTTATGGTGACATATGTTTGTAAAAACATAAATAAAAGATTGACAAGAGAGATTTTTATAGTGGTTCGGATGCTTAAAGCAAATCTCACGTCTATTGCTATTTTATTATTTTCTAATTTTTTTTTTTTTTTTTGATATTGCCTGTAAGACATACAAAAATGGTGTAATATTTTGTTTACGGAGAAAAATAATTGTTGAAGCTCAAATGTATGTCTAGCTCTCATATGCCCAACCTAATTTTTTTTTATTTTTTTCATAAAGAAATGTGTCAATTTATACACCTTTGAGCTTAACATAATGAGTGTTTTTACAAATTGCATTGACACATAAAAAACTCTCATTTATCCTGATATTTTATTTTGATAAAGGTGGGATATGTGTTATATAATATATTTTTGAGGTAGTTTGGGTTTTGATAACTAATATTTAAGATAGTTTGAGTTTTGACAATTAATACCAATTTACTTTTTTAAGTGTTTGCTAAGCTCTGATTGATTGATGTAGTAACATCCTTGTGTATTTTTGGCATAACAATTTTAAAATGTTCCTTAAGCTTGCTTAAAAGAATGAAAACAATATGTTAGGTAAGAATTCCTTATCCAGTTGATTAAATTATATATTTTAAGTCATGGTGCGGCATTCCGAGGTAAGCAAAGCACAACGACGATTCGTGGGCATATAACCTTTTGTTACGGGGGTAAGTTTGGCTCATTTGTCGTTTCGGTTTTTAATATCTCTTGTCTTTATCATCAGTTATCAATTCTTTACTAAAAGATTGAATGTTCGCTGTTTGGCCATTATTAGTCACGCGACTCACACCGCACCGCCCATTGAAGAACTTAATTGGACTAGTGAATTGACGTTAGACCTTAACATCCAAGTCAAACTCAAACCGCAGTATCCATAACCACCACGTTACTTATTAGTATCTTATCCTCTCTTTCACTCACATTAAACGCTTCGTTTCTGACACAAACTCAAACGCCTAAAGTTTCTTTTAAATTATGAGGTCTTACCATTACCCACTTATCAAATTACACGTTATCCTCATGCATCTCTTGATGTAATACCTCAACGTTTGGCTAGTTTGTGGTGCGAGAGTGGTCCTGAAATCTGTCCGAATGATCAATGGATATAAAGATAAGCCGTTGTGTTTTGCCAAAAATAGATGAGCTTATTATTTCTCTTAACTCTTTTTTCTTGTAAAATTATTAGGGTGTTTGGATTCTGTCTTGAGGGACAGGATAAAATTGATGCTAATTGAATAGGTAAACTATTGTTTAGACAATAGTAGAAATTTATTTGGCCGCTTTGGAGAAAAAGTCCCATCTCCCATAGGTTTGGATAATAGTTTATCATGACCGTGAATTAACACATCCATCTTAATGTATATTATTTTTTCATCAATTTTTACTTTGAATCCACAGAAACGATGACATTAATGAATTTTTTTATCTATTCCAATTTACAATAGGGAATTTTATATTGACCAAATAACGTTATTAGATCAATAGTAAATTTGGTTGTATAAATTACAAGTTTATTATGAAAGAATATCTCCTTAAAAAAAAAAGGTCATTCAAATATTCATATATTGCGATGGTCTGGAGGCTGCTCACTTATATACAAAAGGGTATGAAAATGAGAATACTTTTTCTTGTACCCAAAATCTACAGGGGTGTTTGAATATAAACAA